CCTGGGTCTGGGCCCTGACCGCTTCTCTCCAGACTGGCAGGGTTCCAAGCCTCGGTGAGGAGGATCCACTCCTTTCCTTGCTTGTACTTGCCCTGCTCAAGGCCTCGCAAAACGCGGCTGCCCCAGACAGAGGGCCTCCTCCTCCTCCTCCTCCTCCTCCTCCTCCTCCTCCTCCTCCTCCGCGACCTCAGCGACCTCAAGTGTGTCTGATCATCCACAGGACAGCCGACACACGACAACACTAACAAGGATTTCTACAAACCAGGCTCAGTCGGGGTGGAAGCAGGAACAGGATGGGGAGGGGGCGGAAGGGGGGAAAAGGGCAGGGACGAAAGGGGAAAGGACTGGCCTAGTCTGTTGGAAGACCCTGGGACCACACCCTTCAGAAGCTTGGACCTCTCCGAGCTCTTCTCGGGGTTGGTACAAGGACTGCGGAGCTTCTCGCTACTCTTGCAGGAAGCGAAGGCTCCGCACAGTACACAGTAAATGTAAGGTACGTCAAAGGACACTTCTCGAGCCCAATGCAGCTCATGACCTTGCCCCCCCCCCCCCCCCCCCCCCCCCCCCACACACACACCGCACCCACACCACCACCGCCACCACCACCACCACACAACAAACCAGAGAGGGTGGGGTTCAGCTCATCACATGGGCCCGTGGTACTCTGACTGATAATACGATGGCACCGCTGACACCGAAAGGTATCACCTAGGCGCACAGGAACATGGAGGTTCTTCGGGGTTCGAATCCGAGGTGGTTGCGATCCCTTCCGAAGCTTGCCGCGCAAGTCTTCACACGACGGGGAACACGATAAAATGCAAGTGACCCCCACACCAAGACTATTGTACTCGACCTCCGCCCGCTCGAAATCCAACAGCTCCCGGGGGCGTAAATTGTGACTCTGGGCCCCTTTCTTAGCCCATTCGTCAGCATGGAAAGATCCTACGATCGTGCATCTATCTTGCTCGTCTACCGCATCATTGAACGACCTGTGGGCCTTAACTTTGACAAGGGCAACCCATTGTCGTTATTTCAACTTACGGGCCATTTCACGCCAGAGAAAAAGCCAGGCGGGACGAGCCATCCAAGGCTCTAGCAGAATCGCGAGTCCCAAGGAAAAGCGACGCACAATCAACCGAAACAGCCTGAACATGGTCCAGAGGGCCCTGGTCCGATCGTCGAAGGGCACTAACCGCTAGGGCAGCATGCTCAGCGTCACTACCAGTCTGACGGAACTCAGCGGGCAGCGGGCAGTATATCCCACGAACTAACTAGTCTCCACGGAGCTGAATCACGGCAATCCCAGCTCGCGCAATCTTTTCTTTTTCTCCATTGAAACAAGGCCCATCCGTGTACAAGACGTCACCAGGGTCAAACTGAAGTGCAGGCGCGGGTCGACCATAGTTCCCGAAAAACTCCAGTTCCCAGTCAGGAGCTGGAGACGGGAGATCGGGGGGAGGGACCCACGAACGCGAAAACAGCAGACAGTCCTCGGAGGCCCCACGGACCTGGTCCAGGGTTTCCTCGCCGAAAAACTCCGACCGCTTTTGCACAACATCTGGATGGGGACACTCCCAAACTCTATGCCACAGCGTGTCGAGAGCTTGCTTACATAGAGGACACACATCGCAAACAGCGTATCCCCACCTTGCGAGGTTGCTGCCAGTCGGGACAGTCCCTGACACCACTTGGCAGAACAGGCGAAGCAGATCCGCAGGGAGGCCTTTTGCCACCCTCTGCATTAGAGGTAGCCACAGGCCTCGCTGCATAGTGTCTAAACCCCCAGGAGCGTTGGTAAGCTTAGTTCGTACAGCTTGATGTAGCATGGCGTAGCGGAGATCTTCAAGAAAAGCAGAGCAAACTTCCGCAGGTGGCCGTTCGGTGAGGACCCACCGAAAACCACTCCTAGAAATGAGAACCGCTGGGCCCTCCCAAATCCATCCGCCAGCTTCCAGCCACAGGAGCATCGCCGAGATCGGCCCCCGAGAACGACACATCCATGGCTTCCGCGGATGGGAGGCCAGCAAAGCAGCAGCAGAACGAAAACTCTTGCTTAGATCGCCTGGGCTCATCACGTCTTGATGTCTGGGCCGACCTCGCTTCGGACCGGGTTCGGTCGAATGCCACCATTCCCACGAGTAGCGTCTGAGAGGCCCTGCAGCAAGATACAACGGATCTCCTCGATATTTTTGAATTGCCCACTGGAGCTCAAGTGAACAACCTTTTTTACTGATGCCTCCAGCCCTCGCAGCAGACCGCCTGATGTACTGAAATTCGGCTGGTGAGACTCCTTGGACCTCCATCCCGTAGGATACCGTAGTCAGGATCCCACTCTCGAACAGTCTGGCCTTAGCTCTTCTGGACACCCGAAGCGCTCCAAGACGTCTAACCCGATGTTGGAATTTCGCGAACCTCTTCTTCTTAATGGCCTTTAGAATCGGAACACGAAGATGTCTACCAACACTGAACGGAACTCCAAGATTCCCTGGGGTCCACCCAC